GCGAATCGTCAGGATGAGTCACCGATTGCGCTTTGCCTCCCTCGATGGGCATTCCGCTTTGCCTCCCTCGATGGGCCCACGCATTCCCCGCTTTAGAAGGGGGTGAAAGAGGGTGGAAGCCAGCCAGTACTCCATCTGAGGTGGATAGGCTGCGGCAGCTGTGGTAGCAAAGGCGTTGTCAGCCGTCCGGCGGATGAGCCCCGCGCGGCGTCGACCGCAATGGCATAGCCGCGGAAGGGATCCCAAATAGCGCCCCAAGGCGTCCAGATGCGGCATTCCTGCCCACAGCTGATGTTGCAGAGCGGCCACATTATGCAGGAGACGTGTGGGCTTCTGTGAGTTGGCGCCAAATCACCACTGAGAGAGAGCCGGTGTTTGACCCATTCCCGTATGGGAAGTAACTGCCAGATGCTTGCTGGCCGAGCATTGGGGCCATATCGTGAGGTTGCGCCCAAATCTTCGGGGCGCTCGACGATGAAAAAGATGTCCAACTTCAAACACAGGGTGATGCACTGCAAGCAAAGCTCAATCATTGAGTTACTCTTGTCCACTTGCGACCGCCTCCAAGACTCCAGCCAAGGAAACCCGAAAGGATGAAGTGATTAAGTGGTCGTGGACCGTTGTTGTTGGCCCATGGTGCGCGAGACCAAGTCCCGCAAGGCGGGCTCATCAAAACAGCAGCATCATAGTATAGGCTACACGATCTAACAAAAGCTTGCGAAGGCCCTCATCCAAGAGATCATGCTTTGCATCCCTCAAGACGTCGAAGGCATCGACAGTCACCTTCACTGCGCGTTCGACCGAGGCGGCGAGCTTCTCCAAAGTTTCTGGAATGCCACTCGGCCGGCTAGGCCCAGAGAACAAGTAAAGGATTTTGAATTCAATCGGTTGGTGCACTGGTTCGTCCGTCTTGTTTGGCTCTGCCCCTATATTCACGAGTCCTTGTTGTCGCTGACGTGCTCGCGCATGGGGTGACCTGGGTCCAGGCAAATGCGGCAAGCGTGAACTCTATTGCATGATCCCGAACACCCCTCGCCCTTGTTGTTCCAAGCGAGGCAAAGCGACCCTTTGCCTTTCGGCTGGCCTTTTGAGCCTTTCTTGCCCTTTGCTTTGCCCTTGCCTTTTCCCTTCTGCTGCTCGGCGTAAGGATGCTGCCGATCTTACCATTTCCGTTGTTTGTTCCAGGCGTCCTTGATCGACTGCATAATCGGCGTTCTTGACCACCGACTTGAAGGAGGTTGCCCATGCGTCGCCCTTGTTCACCTGTTCAACCGCTTCCTTGCGCGTCTGGTACTCATAGCTCATGATGAGCTTGAGCGAGGGGCGATGCAAAGTCACATCGTCCACCGCCAGAGACTCGAGCTGGGCCACGTTCTTGCTGCAGATGTAGCGCAGGTACTCGATGGATGTGAAAGGCGTGAGGTCATCCAGACACGCCTTGTGAGGGTACCTGAAACGAGCAAAGATCAGGTGGTTGATCATCAAGTCCACCTTGGCCCGAAATTCCTCCATGTTGGCTGGATTGGATGTCTCTACCCTGGCCTTCTTAATTTTAACCTGACCTGCCTTTCCAAGATGCAGACTGCCAGTCTCGGCGTCGTCCTCCTCCAAAGTGGCGTAAAGCCATTGGCCGGAACTCACCATTGTCGAGCTGCTCGCACACATCTTCAAAGCTGGGGGTATATACCCGGGCACTCTGCGTCCTTGAGCTTGAAGAACCTCTTCTCGTACTCCGCCCGGTACAACTGCATCTCTACCCCCGGAATCGTCTTAGGCTGCTTCTGCGCCGTGGCATCTGCATCCAGCTCGTCCATGGCCACCCTGCGCTTCACCGCCGACTGCCATGTCAGGTAAATTGCTGCGAATTTGATCGCATCTCTCGGCCTTGCGCCGATATCAACCCCCAACTCCGCTTATTTTGCTGCCTCCAGTAGCGAATCCCGATCTGCATGTGGCAATTGCCGACAGCATCGCAATCGAGGGAACCCCTGCATCAAACAGGGCGGCCTGCATCCCTGCCTCAACCCCCCTTGCATCCAGCAAGCCCTGGAAGCCAGGGTTTAGCGGAGCTATCTTCTCTTCCTGAGTCAAACCAGCCATTGCGGCGCGTGCCCTCCGAGGCAGCCCCTCCTGGGCGAGAGTAAGGGGCTTCCCGCCCGCGAAGCTCTCCTCCTGAGAGCCTAAACAAACGAATCGACCAGTTCAACCCACACAACCCAAAACGAGCGACGACCGCGAAGGGGAACCAGGGGTCCAAGGAAAATGTTGCCATCCACCCAAAACCGTCCGACTCTGATCCCGACGATTGCTCGCCGTCGCCACCCTGCAGAATCGCTTCTGCAATGCGATCCTTCTTGGTGAAACATGTGGAACACAAGTGTTCGCCCTTATCCGGCATTATTTCGGGTCTCTCCACGCCGATCACCGTATAGTCGCAGTAGTGAATGCCTGGAACACGATAGCACCCCCGATCACGCGCAGTGTTCTCCTTTTGGTTTTGCCGAACATGATGTAGGTGCCTAGGTTGTACCTCTCCTCAGGAGCCGGGTCACCCATCTGCTCATCATCACTGAACACCAGTGGGAGAGTCATCGGACCCTTCCGCCTTCTTCCTAATTGGCTTGGACAGCGCATGGAATGGGCCGTTTCCCACGCCTCCCCACGTAGGCGGTGCCAACTTCATGATCTCCGCGTGCGCCTGAGTGGGAGTCCTCCCATGCACGGCTTGGAGCCATAGTGCAAAGTTGTTGAGGACCGACTTGTCGTCCGTGTAGTCCGTGATGCAATACTGGGCCTTGATCTTGCTGGCCACGTGCGCCTGAGCTTGCGTCACCGAGCGCTCCGACCAATACGAGGTGGATTCAGGGATCATCAACCGTTGGGGCTGCCCGTCTTCGCCCAAGCGGATCGAATAGAGCTCAGTGAGGAGCGCCCGAGAGTAGCACATCGCCTCGGGATAGGAGAGCATGCCCTTCCGGAAACCTCTCAACGTCTCGTTGGGCTTGCGCATCAAGAAATCTCTCTTCTCCATGGCGATGTCCTTGTTTATGGTCATGAAGAGCTGGCGCCCCACCTTCAACCAGTCCTTGCGCACCAGCCATGCCTCAGAGGAGACATAAAACTCAACCACTTCCACACGGCGGCCGACCCCATTGTTTTGGCTCTCAAGATCTCACCCTGCAGGCCGACCATGCGGTCGAAGTCCAAAGCAGCGGGAGGAACGCCTTGGCTGTCATGCGAACGAAGCCCTCCCCCAAGCTTAATTAGCTTATACTTATACCAGCAAAAGACCCTTTTGAAGGTCTGGAGAGTGACATCCAGGACCCCGATCTCCCATGCTCTCGCAACCTCCACCGGCATGCGAGCTGCCTTCGTCCTCTGCCAACCCGTCCATGTGGTGCCCTGCTCGACCTCCTTGAGGTAGTTGTGAATGGACTGGGAGTTGGAGAGTCTCTTCTCTGGGGACACCTCGGCTGCGGCCTCCAAAAATGCGATGCACTTGAACAGGGAACCCGGCGCGCTGCGACCGCATGGTTCTTCAAGCAACAGGGCCACATACCCAATGAAATCCCCCGGCGATCTTAGCCATGTGGTGCCGTAGATGGACTCCATGTAAACCTGGACCCTTCTACCATACTTCACATGTTGTCTCAATGTAGATGCCCTTCTGCCTGCTGCAACCCGTGCGGCTAGCTGCTTCGTCGCCTCCGGCTCCCTTGCCAGGCTCTCCAGGAACCCGGCATCTTCAAGCAGCTTCATGAGCTCGCCGATCCGTCGTTGTCTTTCTTTCTCTTCTGCCTTGGCTCTATGCTGCTCATCTGGAGCGTTGGCCAAGGCTTTCTGCAGGCGAGATTTCCAAGTCACCCTGGGCATCGTCTTTCGTGCCAACACCAATGAAGTGCCGACTTCCGAGACCGTCGATGCCAGCCCTCCAATCTTCTTCTCCAGCATCGAGGCATCCTTGTACAAGAGCTTCTGGTGGTGGTAGAAGGTGCCGTCCCCGATGTCCAGGAAACGTTTCTGCCGTTTTGCTTCTCGACGCAAGCCCTCCATCTCATCAGGAGTCCACCCACGCGCCATGACCGGCAACATCTCCTTGATCTCTTCGTCCGGCATCTGGTGAAAGAAGGTAGCCAACTCCCACCCTTCGTGCAGAAGTATCCGCACGGCCGGCTCCATGGCGCACCGTCGCCCTGGCCCCAAACCTTTCTTTGAAGCCACAACTGCGTGTCCGACACGTAACGCTATCGGTCGAACTTTTCTTTCCTTCTAGCTACTACAAGGCAGCATATGCCACGGTTCAAGGGAAAGCATCTTGCAGTGAGTAGGTCAAGTGAAAAGTTCACCTGACTAGACTTCAGTGCATGTGTCATACGCTGCGCAGGTCTCATTGATGCGGATGATGCACTGCAAACTCGAGCAAACAAACAAGCAGCCCAATCTGGCTTCAATGATGCGAATGAACCTCAAACCAGGAGCAAGGACGCTACTATTAGCAAAGGGCATCGCTACTAGGAGCAAGGACGCTACTAGGGGCTCCTGGCCTTACTAGGAGCAAGGACGCACCTCAAACCACGCTGCCTTTTTTACCTACGCTCTTTCGAGACTTGGAACCAACTCCATTTACAGTAATTGGGTGCGGAATCAGTCAACAATGCGTGAAACCAAGCCTTGCAACAGGGAAAGGCAGGCACAGTTTCCAGGGTGAAAGAAATGGAGCACTTGATTCACTACGAAGTACCACCAGCCTTTTTCGCAAGGGTCCAGTGCAGCCTCCAAAAAGAGGGTTGTGTTTTGTGGCTATCCGGACCACAGAGAAGTTACAAGAAAGAGTCAACATGGACATTGACATACAGTAGACATACATCTACATGAAGATGTACGATAGTGATAATATGAAATGATGGCCACAAAGAAGAATATGTATCAATGAAGCTGACCCTGTTCTTTGAGAAGAACCCTTCGCCGGGGCTTTCGGAAGCAACCTGCTGCTTAGATGCATTGGGGTTCATCCCAAACTCTAGCAGCATGTTCAGCTCTTCCATGTCTCCAGACTCAGCTGCAAAGAGCCTGGCGGCTGCAGACTCGAAAACAATGACAAGGACTTTGCATCAAACATCATTAAACTACGTATAAGTCTACAGGCTCTTCAAGGTGCTCAACTGAGAACCTCATCCATGAAGCATCCTGAATCTATTAATAATTTGGCGCATGGAGTGTCAGAGACGTCAAATGCCGTTTTTGTGTTGGTGCAGTGGTCGCCATGTCACAGCAAGTTAAACGTGTCTCTGACCTCTTTTGACATACTGTATTTTGGAATTGAATGCCCTGCCAAGGCACATAGAGGCAATACAAAACTTCTCCTCATTCGGCGCCTCGCAAAGAAATACTTTAGATTAAAATTGCCGTCTCCTGTGCTGATAAGACTTTGGGCGATGCTGTCATGATATAATGCGCATCATGTCCAGCCTCCTTGGCTAAAAACTGTGCCTGCAGTCACAACATGTACTGCTGAAAATTATGTAGCAATGGCCCAGGAAAACGAGGTTTGGTGCCCCATTCAAACACCGGCGACATAGATTGCTCTAGCTCCTCTGTTCTCTGGCCCGCCTTTGCAGGAGGCAAAGATAGGTCCACTGACATGGTTGCCATGCAAAAGTGCCAAGCATGAAGGTGGGAAGCTGGTTTGATTGGACTTTGCCACCTTTCCTGGTAACGAGGTTCATTTCAACTTAGAAACTTACATGACTTACATATTGTATCAAATTGCATGATTGACGTGGCGATGGTTCCAACTGCCGACATGCTGCTTTTCACTGGAAATCACGAAATATGGCAGATTCTAGGTTGTTCTGTAACATCCAATTGCGATGTCAATCTAAGCTTCGCTCATCTACATGTGCTCTTTGTTGCTTTCCCATTCTTAGAATAGTGCTAAGTGTGAAGCGAAGGCTGCAAAAAAAGCATGCACGACTTGACCGGTCAAATACTAGCACAATCTGGAGAGCTGAGGTGACTTTGCCCATGTCCAAAAAGAATGACAACAGAACCTAGCAATCGCTGGCTGAAATGGGTGATCAAAAAGGACAGGTCTTAAGAATCTTAAGACTTGAATCTCAATCGTCCCAAGTGAAGGTGGGCGGACGATTTTGATCCCCCAAGTTGGCATCTCCAGTCCGCAAACGGCAGAGGAGCCTCCCAAGGAACATGATGGAGCCCTCTCAGCATCGAGTTTGTTTCTGGGCCGAACACTAGCAGCATTTGCATTAGTTTGATGGTAGATACACACTTTGAATATCTTTGAACTGTTTTCAATCGCTTGATTAAAAGCTTTGTTGGAACCCCTCATCTTTGCCTGGCGCCTGGGAATCAAACACACAGCCCAAACCAAACACAAGCATATCGGCCTGCCTGCCCAGCAGCTAGGGACTTCAAAACAGCACTGGCATCTTGATTGGCAGGCAGGAGCCGACCTCAAAGACAAACCGTGGATCCATCACTAAGTAGAAAAGATATCTCCACAGTACCGAGATTGGGACAAAGCACCTGCCGCAAGTCTTCAGGTAAAGTATCACAGGCCTTGGAAAGAAGATAGTTCGGTTAACTCAAGACTCTTCTCAAAGAGAATCTCATGTTGCATAACTCAGCAAATCCGGTATCGAACTTTGTGCACTCGCCGGATCACTGGAATGCTCACACACCATAGTGAGGCCCAGAACAGTCTCATCCAGAATAGTTTGTGGTTTGCCAAGGAGAAGAACCAAAAGCCATCAATGACCCGATTGCTCTTTGGCTGGAGACACAGTCACACTCCGGGACATCATTTTGAGATGCACGCCACCACCTTGTCGCCAAGGGCAAGGCCTGAAGTCAACTTTACCGCATGCAGGGTCCTAATGGGATGACCAATATGAGTTAGTACACCGTGCAAATGCTTATGATGGGAGACAAGCACTTTGGTTTAGTCTTGCAGTGAGCCGCTGATATTTGCATTGTGGTCAAGCTGTGGTTCGTGCTTCTGAAGCATTTCCACAAGTTACCGGCTTACCAGTCTGTGCAGCTGTTGATCCGAGGTTGCCATGTCGATACCAGTCTTGTGCAATCTGTGTCCTTCGTCTTTCAACAGTTTGACACATGCCTGGAAGCTCAATGCGAAAGCGATGAAGAAAATTCCGAGGGCACCAAGTCAAGTCTTTGGGCAAATCCTCCGCAAGGCTTTGTAGTCAGTACTGCTGACGGACGGTTTTTGAACATCTGCCTGACAACTTCAAACAGGCATCCAAACATATCCAAACGCCCCCGAGCCCAGACGTCCCAAACCGAATGCGAACATTAAATTTCTGATAATTCCTGTATCCTTTGGGTTGGCTTGCACCATCCGCATCAAGTTGCATAACGACTCGTGGAATGCAGGTTCGAAGGCGCGCATAACCCCAACGCATTGGCTCAGAGTCTCTTCCTTCAAGGTAGTTTTCTTAACACTTGTCTTGGAATCTAGGATCAAATAGCATCTAGCTTCCAGATTCATCAGCAGGGTTTTCAAACAATTTCACGCGCGGCATACTGTATTACCCAGGCTCCTGTGGGGCATATCGCCCATCGCAAACCACTGGATGTCCCACATGTGCCAAATGACAACGAATTTGGTGCTTTCCTGGGCGGAAACATCTGTGGCAACTAGCAGCAAAGCATGTACCAATGGTAAAAGCACGTAAAGGCAATGCTCGAAGCTGGCAATGTCTACGACTGTTTCAAACATTCATAAAATATCATAAAATGCTTGATCCCATCGAGAGGGAGAACGCTCAAGTACAGTATAAGGCAGGTCGCTTCCCGTCACAATGGAGATGACAACCAAACCTCAAAAAGATGAGTATAATCGAGGAAGAAGCAATGGCTTTGAGAGGATTCCAACAGTGCCCACAGCAGCCACTACCCATGCTGTCACCGTCATCCAATAATCTTTAAAGCGCCCAAGTTCTTCAGCCACCAAACTGTAGAGATCTTGTTCACCAGATCTCCTGAACCTCAGGTAGTTCAAGGTCGCGTGTTGGAACTCTTGGTTCAATGCTCTGTCTTGGTTCGGACACATTATCGAGGTTTGACAGTGAAATTGAGTTTGATTGTGGTGCTCCATCTATGCCCAAATGGCACGGGATTTTTTGTTTGGGCGCGGACCAAGCAATTGGCTGCAAGAAAGTTTTGGCAGGTGCACCGCGGTCATAGTCCACAAGACTGGAAGCATCTTTACTCCAAATGGGTGCACTGACCTGCTAGGCGGCTTTACGATTCTGCAAATTCACTTGAATCTACGATTTCATCCCCGATGTCATGCGCTTTCAGATGCATCAAAACACACCTCCGTTGAATAATGATGAATAATGTGTCCTTTCGTGGCAGTCCAGCAGTGTATATCGGCCTCTCTCAAAGTAGCTGGCATCCAGCCATGGCACAGCACCAAATACTCCCGAGCCTTTCACTGCAAATTTCACCCCCCACACAGAGTTATGCTGAGGTTTGCCCTCCTCTCAAAACAAGCGATTAAGTACCTGACCACGTCATGAGTGTCTTGCCTGAATTGAAGCAGCAGAAATGCCTCGTCCGGGGCCCATCGCACGCATGATTGTCGACTTGAATTGTTGAGCATGTGTCTAGAAGTGTTTTTAGAAATAGGAACAGTTTGCTTTGAGGAAGCAGCAAGCAGATTATTTTGACTATTAAGACGATGAGTAGCTTAATAGTAGAGCTACAGTGGGACTTGACTTGAATCTTTATGGATCTTTGCAAATTGCCTCTGGCTTAGTGCTCCAAAGACTCAGGCTCAGTATTCCCACTGCTAAGAACGGTCTGACTTCGCTACCACGAAGCAGCCTCGTAGGTCAATGCGCACAACACCAAACCTGAAGATTGAGCATCCAAGCGTCCTCAGTAAGCCGTTGCGGTTGCAAAATGACATTAAAAGCTGTATTGACGCTTGGGGCTGGGGGTTGGTGACGAAAGCTAGCTGCATCTAATCACATGGCCTTAAAACGGACGGGGATGTGCAATGTGAAATGTCATGGTTCCAAAACGGATGCAATCAGAACGATTATGCTCCCAAATCTGACACGCCCAATAGGGAGTTGAACCTGCGCAGGGGAGGTCTGGCAGGGAATACTTTAATTACTAGGTAGCCGGTTTACTAAGCTCGCTAAATCCTTTAGCGACGATCTATTCGATCAAACAAAACGCAACAAGTCAAAACGTGAGAAAAGTCGAAAAGTCAAAAAGGTAAAGGAAACGAAATCACACAGCTACTTTTCGACTTGTTTAGACGTTTCGAGACTTTTAAACCTTTGAGACTTTTGGACTCTTCGATTTTGTGCTGGTCTCGCTTTTCCCACTTACCAAATTTTCACGAAAGGTTCGTAAAAGAGAAGAGAGGTTCCTTTGACATCACCTCAAAGTCCACCCGTTGATGTCTCTTCTGTGAAGTACAAAAGTTGCAACTTTGCACCCTACCGACTGGTCCAAGACATCATAGGGACAAACATGCATGAATGTCTGCTACGCGGGAACATGATGAGTGTTTTGGATGTTGGGTGCCTTACAGTTGTTTCCAGCTGTTTACGCGAGTCTTGGCATGCAACAAATGAGGTGGACACCTTTGCGTGCTCCACTCGCGGGTGCATGCTACACAATAGGGGCCCTAGAAAGAAACCCCGGGGGGGGCGTTTTGTACCTACAAATGCGGCACCCCAGGTCCAAACCAACCAATCCATTTATACAATCAGGGCCCCCAAGATGGAACCCTTAAATCCATAATATCGGGTTGGGGGTTGGCCATAGTGGGCTCACACAATTTGCCAGAAAAGTGCGCTCCCTATAAAATCAACCCCTCCAAGCCAGACAAAGAGTCCAACAAATGCCATGCGTCATCCCGATGCATTTCCCGATGTGGTTTGCCAAGCGTGTCCCCACGCATTTACCTTTGGTGCTGGAGTTAAATGTCAAAACAGTCTCGCACCAGAATCTTGACCCTAAGCCAGTTTTCGCTGCTGGAGTCTCAAACTCCAAAACGGTTTGACACCCAAGTTTTTTACTTCCAAAACGGTTTGGTGCTGGAGTTAAATGTCAAAACAGTTTGGCGCCCAAGATCATGAGAAAAGAAACCCATGTACGTGAGGACCACAAACCTAAGGATCGATGAGACAAAAGCACTTCCACAAAATGCTTCAACACCCTGAGCAGATGGTGTGGGAGTTGGGGAGAAGGATGGCTCCTGAATATGCCCAAGGATTCAATTTGTTCATTTTCTCAAAACCATCACCCTTCCCACTCTTCCAAAATGAGACCCTCCAGAGACCCTGATTTTGTAGAGATTGAGTGGGAGGCGGGAAGGGTGATTCCTGAATATGGCCACAGGGTTTAACTTCATTGATTTTGTCAAAACCAGGAGTTAAATGTCAAAACAGTTTGGCACCGAAGTCTTTGACTCC